CATCTTTCAACAGACTCAAATGGAATCAGGAGATACATGCAACAATAACAAATAACATTTGCAAAGGTTCCTACATCATCATACAGCATACTTTGTCTTTAGGGAAGCAACCTACCTGCATAAAAGCCACTGCTTCTGAAACAGAGAACAGTGTGTTGAGGAACTCCCATCGGCTCTCCTTCCGCAAATCTACCAGTTCCCTCCCATACATCTCACTTCCATTTACAGAATATTAGCAGGCACTATACAAAATATTACCCCAAATTTGCAGCATACTACACATCCAAGTATCAAATATGGTGGAAAGATGAACACCTTGGAAGTGCTTTTACATGTAATTAGAACTTAAAGAGTGAATATTTCATAAAGATAATAAATATTAAACCCACAGTATCATGTCTAAGATACTTGTAACAGCCAGCATTAGATGCCAACAGTAACCCATCTATCAATGCTGTATGTATTGCCCATATGACAAGGAATACAGAAGGACAAGTTTTGAAGCACACCTTAATTCACGAGTAGATAGCATTCTTGTGCCGTGCATGGCTCTTTTAATATATCCAAATCGATCAGCCTTAACCAAATTGCCTTTCTCTTTATCTATTACAAGTCCTCTAATCACCTTGAATAACCATGAAGCAGATTGGTCTCAGAACTACGATTAAAGAGTACATCTCAATCTGCATACAACATTCTACTATACCAGTTCTGGGTCAAAAGCAAGTCCATCAACAGGAAAGCCCATATTTCTCAGATTAACCATACAATAGTCATAAGCCCTTCCTTCCCATGCCTGTTAGATAAAGAAGACAATGCATAAACCCAATTATCCAACTAGTATTTAAATGCATTGCAAAACATTTATAAAACAAGATTACAAGGATACAGGACAAATTAACAGCATTTAGTGTGCACAAGCATGAAAGTCAACATCTTTTTTCAAATTTGTCCCAGAATAATGCCTCTGAATCCATTCATTGAACATGTTACATGTAATACTGTTACTTTTTGAGTGCGTCGAAGGGAAACAAATTTGGATCCATTGATAAGTTATAATTCAGAGGACCAAAAGTCTAAACTCATGGATGCTAATTTTTTTTGTTTGGGTATTAAACACTTGAAAATCTCTCCAAGAACATTTGAGTGGGGATGGAGGCAACAGAAAAATGGCAAAGGCCATTTATTTGATGCCCAAATAATTAATCAAAGAAAAATGTTACTGAAGCTCCAATTTTGCAAGAGTTGTTAACAGAAGATTCCACGAATATCCCGAGACCATGTTAGAAGGAGTTCCCAGCCATAGGACTTTCAGTACTACTCCTAAACCATGTTAAAGCAGGAATGCGAAGCAAAAGGAATTTGCATTGCATAGTGTAGCTTCCTAAAGCACCTTACAATGACTCGCCAATAGAAGCACAGAAATCTCCTCATGCTTGTATTGCTAAATAGTCTAAATTGATGGCAGGAGTATTCAATACCAAAAAGATCGATGGTCAGAGAGGCATCCAAATGTCACTCAAAGAATCCCTGTATATATGTGTGAAGTAGCAATTCCGTCATAGAGAGAAACAGAGAGATGCTAAGCAACTGTTGGAAAACAAATGCATGAAAGGAGGAATGAAATGAAATTTGGTAAAGCATTGGCATGGTAAAAGTGAGGGATTACCTTGACATTATAGTGCATCAGCGTGTAGTCCATGTCATACCCAATTGCACTGATAGACCGTAGATTCAATGTGCGGCTGCAAAATATCCCTCGGGGAGAATTGCTAGCAGAAAATGGACCCTATAATTATTAGCAATAACTTATTTTTTATGACCAAATGCATCAACAAAAAGAGATATCAAGACAAAGAAGGTTGTTATGAATTCTACTATGAAAAGTGCACATGCCAACTAAGATGTAGTTGATGCGTTGAACAAAGTTGGAGCATAGGTTGGTTCATATTCAGCGAGAGATATAAAAAGTGAAGGAAGAAAAGTTTGGGAAGAAAATGGAGGAAACAAACAAGTGAGGCACTGTAATGTGTAGTAGTAGCATCACCGGTATGCCCAAGTGTTGAAGCAAGTCTTCGGCATCTCGAGCTTCTGTCCAGGCCACCTTTTCGATGGGACCTTCCAAGGCTGCCTGCCCACCACTTCCTGCATTCGATAGCCAAAACTTCATGAAGGCGGCCAGAAGAAAGAAAAGGGGAAAAAGGAAAAAACTTTTGGACTCATGGACAATAAGCTGCCCAAGGCATGAACTAAATGCGGACTCAACAAGGAGGGAAAGACAAAGGACACACACATACACCTAAAAGAAAAAATTAAGGGGAGAGAGAATTTGATGAAGAAAAGGGGAGAATGGGGGAAAACGCACCAACGTTGATGTTCAAGTCGCCTTTAGTGCTCTGGCCAAGGTAGTCTACATCGGAGTTGGTGGCAGGAGTAACCGAGAAGACATGAACATCGGGCTTGGTAGTGCTGTTGCAGCGGCAGGTGAGTGAATCCGAAGGAGGAGGAGGAGCTCGTATAGTGAGGAGCCTAGATTTGGTGGCGGGGTGATGATAGTGGACGAGGAAGGCGGGTCCCACGCTTATCCTAGGAAGAATTCGGCGGTCGGGTGTCGTAGTAGCAGTAGTAGTCGTGGTAAGGCAGCAGTAGGCGCTGGCTGATGCCGCCATTTAGACGCCTGGTTGCTGCGCTTAGGCTTTACCAACTCTCTTCTGTTTCTCCAATTCTCGAAACCATCTGCCGCTCACTCCTCATTCCATTTTTCTTCTTTGATTTTACTCCGCCCTGACTCAGTGGGAGTACTAGGCAGGGTTAGAAAAGTATCTACCACCACACGACAAAGCAGAAAACTGTAGTTGAAAGTTGAGGGGGGGGGGGGGGGGGACTCGGTTGAGCTCTCGATTCTGTTACTGGATTTTCCTTCTAAAAAAATAAGGGAAAATGGCCGATTTCCTCTCTAAATATTTTTACTAGACCTGATTTAGTCTCTAAATTTTATTTTTAGTCAATTTAATACATAAACTTAATTTTTGGGTCCAATTAAGGCCCTCTGCGGCAGCGCCATCACTTAAAAATGATTTGACTCTTAATTTAATAACTAAATAGGGGTATTTTAGGAATTTTGGATGTAGGTTATAATAAAAATCAAGTAAACCAAAAAAATTTATTAATTTTTGAGGTATTTTTAAAATTTAAAAGTTTTTGGGGGTATTTTTAAAATTTTTAATCAATTTCCAACCCCCTCCTCTACCTCATCCCCTCTCTTCTCCTCCACCATCCCTTGCCTCGGTCAATCTAATATGGCCATCGTTCTACCTCCTTCGACACCGCTATCTGCCACTACCTTTTCCGCTCATCCATAACTTTCTTCTCTCCACCACCAAACTCCATCTCGCCACCCACCTGCTCATTCTTCCCCCACCATTCTTTTTCCACTTCTACCTCCTCTCCTTTTCTCCTCTGTATCCCTTTCACTAGCATTCCTTTCCCACTACTCCTTTCCTTTCATTTTCCCCATCCTATAAACAATCCGAATAAGCCCTTTCTAAATCATTCTTGACCGTCTCATCATTGCAAGAAAGAATTTGCAATAAGAAGAAAACTCTAGCATCCAATCACTGTCGCCATTTTCTTGCTGCAAAGGTGATCACCACTGGCATAATCGGCTTTAAAAGAATATGTTTCCCAATGTTATTATAGTGTTATCTTTTATAAGCTATTTCCATCACATATTTAAGTCAATGACGGTACTGGTCAAGAGATTAGTATAGAAAAGATTGCACATTTGCTCAAGATATTGGTCTTTTAGTACAATGAATCATGGAAAGGAAGTATACGGGTTTTAAGCAACCGTGATGAGTCTGGTACACTTTGAAAAGAGATCATGAGGTTCCATTACATTACTTTGACGTTTGCCATGGTCCTATTATGATTACCTTATAGATGATTTGAAATTCTAAACATGAAATCGATGAATTAGGTTTCTTAATTATGTGCTGCCTCTTTGACCCAAACTCCTGAGGGTGAGGGAGAAGCAAGGGGTGGTGAAAAAAGGGATGGGCGAGAGATGTAGGAGTGAGATGATGATGAAAAAAATAGGGGAAGAGGAGAAAAGGAGGAGAAGGGTGGGGGAGGAAAGAGGACGTGGTTGGCGGATAGTGGAGTTTGATGGTTGATGGAGGAGATTGCCTTTGACGGTGAAAGGAGGACAGTACACAAAGTTTTCAAAATGTCCTTGTTTAATTATTAAATTAAGAGCCAAATCGCTTCTATGAGGTGGCGCCGCCGCAGAGGACCTTAATTGGACCCAAAAATTAAGTTTATGTATCAAATTGGCTAAAAATAAAACTTAGAGGCTAAATCAGCTCTAGTAAAAATATTTAGGGACGAAATTTTTCAAAAAATAATTACTGTGCCACTACCCCCACCTTCTCTCTTCACTTTGCTCTGCGCATGGTTTATGTCACTCGACCCTCCACTCCACCGGCCGCACCACCCTCTCCTTCTCCCTTAAAAGAACAAAAAAAGGAGAAAAAATTTAAACTGCTCATACCTGCCAATTGGGATTCGTCTCAGACTCGGAAGTCAAATCACTTTGGGCTACAGCAACACCAGCGATTTTTTTGGTTTTAGGAAATAATAAAAAATAAAAATCCAGCGAGGAAAAGTAAAAGGAAACGCCGGGAAACAAGGATGCTTATTACTGGATGACTCTTATGTACTCCTACATATACCAAACAAGCTAACGTACACCAAGTAGTAGTAGTAGCAGCAGCAGCAATACAACAATACACAGCTAAGGACCCAAGCGTCGCCGCACATTTGCTCCCCTCACCCAGAGTGCAGACTGCTCTCGTCCCGCCAGCCCACCTCAGCTCAACGCCTCGAATTTCTTCGGAGCAAGCAAGCCGGGTATGGCTCTTTGCTCCCCTCTCTCCTTCTGCTGCATTCTTTTTTCTTCTTTTTTTTTTCCCCTTTTTGTTTTTCGCTTCTTCCCTATCTAGTTTTTGCCTTCAACCGTCTTTTTCTTTATCTTCTTGTTATCATTATTACTGTTTTCTTTTCTTTTACATCTTCTTGTTAGGAAAGCATAAACTCCTTATCTGAAACAAGGCTTTAGAATGTCGCTGTTGTTCCTCTCAAGTGGTGGCCCTTTTTTTCCCCCTTTTATTTTTTCCGCGCATGATTCCTCGAACCCATCTGCTCTAATACTCGTCCCAAAGACATTTTCTTTACACCCCTCCAATTTTAATATGGATGGTCCGCATCAGAAGTAGGGATGGCCTGCAAGATATTAGAAATTCGCTAGCTTTTGCTCCAGTCTTGGGATTCAAATTTTGCATTCTTTTTTTTTTAACAGCTTTCTACTGTTCGATGTTGCCTGTTTCATTTCATGTAGATTAACCATCCTAGCTGAATCTTGTGTTCATTTTTATTGGTTTATACTTTAAACCACAATTCGGTGTTTCCTTGTCACGATTTACCTCTGAAATATTGGCTTCCACTGTTTCGTTCTTTCTTGTGCACTCAAACCTCTCTAACTTTGTGATTCTCATTCCAACTGCTCTTGTATCCAGGTAAATTAACTGCGCGGCCAGGAGGAGTCAACATGGGACTGCATCAAAAGTCTACCAGAACAACGGTAATGCACATTGAGCACACCAATTTTTTTTTTTTTCAAAAGATTAAAGTTTCCTCCTTTTTCCCTTCTCCTCTTAAATATTATGTTATTTTGGACCTCTAGGCAACAAAGGATTTTCTGGGGGTACTTCCAGATGGAATTCTGTCCAAAATCATCTCGAGGCTTACGCTAAAAGAGGCAGTAAGGACTAGTATCTTGTCGAAAAGTTGGAGAGCCATTTGGACTAGTCACCCCTGCCTATTGTTTGATTCGGCCAGCATACTCGGGAACAAAATTCATTCCAAAAGCATGTCCTGCTGTTTTGGTGAACCTGACAGGCAGTTGCAAAGGCTTCACTTTGTGGAAAAGGTTGATCACCTTATGCATCAGCGTCGAAGAGGTCTGAGGATAGACTCTTTAGCCATACACTTCCACTTAGGTAAAGAGTTCGCTTCTCACATCAGTGAGTGGATTGAATGCGCATTTGCTAAGGGAGCTGAGATCATTGACCTTGATCTGTCCGAATCATGTAGTTTTAAAGTAGATAACGTGCCCCTAGCTGAATTCGAGCGTTATACATTTTCCTGCTCGCTTCTTGCATCCCCTAATGTTAGATGTACTCTAAAGCATCTCCGACTGACCTGCTGTAATTTTGATTCTGTTCCCACTCCTGGCAGCCTGGCCTCTCTGACCACCGCTGAACTACGGGACGTTAATATCAGTGATCAGCAACTAGAGAATTTCTTGTTGACCTGTTTACGTCTTGAAAATTTGAGTTTGCTTGCCTGCACCAACCTTGTGAAACTTAAATTCTCCTGTCCAAAATTTCGTCTTAAGATTCTAAGCATACAGAATTGCCCTAGATTAGACAGCATTGAACTTGGTCCGGAGAGTCTTACCACATTTGAATATACCGGTGAATTAGCCACTTTTTCCTTCAAATATGCCCCAAGGTTAACAGATATGTATCTGAGTTTCACGGGTCATAACAGACAAGATGGTGTGAGCTCTGCACTCTCGAGGTTTGCTTGTGATATACCTCACTTGCGGACTTTAAATCTGGTCTCAGTACTGGGCATGAAGGTAAAATAGTTATTCAAAGAGCAGTTCCAAGTTTTGATATATCACCTTTCCGTGTGTTTAATTTGCTGCATTATTTAAGGATTTTAGCTATGTTTTCGGATGTCAATTTGTATTTACTGTGTTTTCTTTCTATCACAGACACCAGAGCTGCCAGACAAGGTGCTAAACTTTACTAATGTCCAGGAGCTAATCCTTACGGTTTTTCCTTTCCACGATGAAGACAAATTTGATTGGATTATTTATGTGCTGAAGACCTTCACTTCGTTGCGCAGTCTCCAACTCAATGTAAGCATATTTGCTTGCCTTTCCCGTTGAATTGCTTCTCGCTCTTGGCTGTTCTTTCCTTCGTTTCATTCCTGCTCCTTGCTGTTAGATGTTTTGTTTTACACAGACTTGACTTGCCGATTGGCATTTATCAGAGAGTGTCTATCTGTGCCACAGATATAGCAAGACTGTGCAAAATCCTGGGGAGACGAGTACTTTGACTGCCTCTGCGATTTCTGTTTCATTCTTCATCTGTTGAGAAGGTGTTTTTCCCCTTAATGATTCTTTCTTTTTGTTTCTTTCAGTTGTTTTCTCCAAGCTACATCAGAAAATCAAATATTTCACCAAGGCAGCTTCCTGAATGCACTCATAGGCACCTGACTAAGTTGGAAATAAATGGATTCTATGGTAGTCCGCATGAAATTGAGCTGCTGGAATACCTGCTTGACAATTTGGTTGAACTTGGAGTGCTCTTCATTAACCCATGCCGCAAGATATACAAGAGATTCAACCGGTGGGATTCCGAAGTAGCAAGTAATTCCCACAAAATTAGGCCTGAGGTTGTGGAATGGATTCATGATAACGTATCTCCAACCATACAGCTGCACGTATTGTGACATTGGGTCGTCCTCTAAGCTATAGCTGTAATTTATGGATGTGTATATCATCTTCTTCTAAAAAACAAAAAAAACCACCTGTGAAAGCTTATGTTCTAGTATGACAAAGTTTGCCCATTATCCTAGAAAAGCGATAGTTTATCTTGGGGGAGTGGTAGTTAATTAGATGTGGAGTCGTTGTAGGGGAACAAGTTGTTAATTATCTTTCTGAAGAAGGATATATCTGATGATACATTAAGTGACACATTTTGTTTATGCCAACCTATCTCCAATGTTATACAAATAAAAAGGGTTAATCACATTTTATTCCCTTAAAGAATACTCCATTTTTCAGTTTATCCTTTAATTTTTAATTTTGCTCACTTAATCCCCTTTAGGATAAAATTGCCCTTGCATTATTTTGGCTTTTCATTTACCTTGTTTTCCTTTCTTTTATTTTTTTTCTCTTTCTTCTTTATTTAATTCTTCCTCTTTCCCACAAAAATCTTCACTTTAATGATTGAAATTAAAAAAGAGGAATTGCAGAAATCTATTTTCTCCTTAAACTATTAAAAAAATATTCAAATTACTTTCCTAAAATATAATTTTTTTAGCTTTTCAATTCTTTTAATTTTGGGTTTTCCTATTTCCTTTCTAGTTTCTCATCTCATTTTATTCCCAAGAAAATATCTTAAAATGAAATTGTGATCTGATTAATAATCATCAATAGAAATTTATGACACGTGGCATCACACAAAAAATCAAAATTAGTTTTTGATGTCTTTTAAACATTCACCCAGAAATATGCAATTACAAACTCAAAAAAAAATTTCCGTTGAAATGGAATTTCTATTGGGAATGATGAAAGAGAGAAGAAAGAGAAAAAGAAATAAAAGAAAGGAAAACAATTTCATCTTATGATATTTTCTTGAGAATAAAATGAGAAACTAGAAAGGAAAGAGAAAAATCTAAAATTAAAAGAATTGAAAGGCTAAAAAAATTGTATTTTAGAAAAGTGATTTGAATATTTTTTTAATCATTTAAGGAGATGATAGATATATGCAATTTTTCTTTTTTAATTTCAATCATTAAAGTGAAGATTTTTGTGGGAAAGAGGAAGAATTAAATAAAGAAGAAAGAGAAAAAGAAATAAAAGAAAGGAAAACGAGGTAAATGAAAAGTCAAAATAATGCAAAGATAATTTTGCCTTAAAGGGGAATAAGTGAGCAAAATAAAAAATTAGGGGTTAAACTGAGAAATGAAATATTCTTTAAGGGGATAAAATGTGATTAATCCAAATAAAAATTTTGAAGGAAACAAACAAGAGGGTAAAGACTACTCATAAATGAAGGTCCTGCTCACGCTTTCAGTTTCAACCCATCTGGATAATTCCATCGATTATTGGCGAAAAGAGTAGTTACAAGAGTATTTTGGATGTATATGTACTTATCTTATGGAGGTTATTATTTTAATAAGAACGTATCTGTCCATGATTAACTAAAACTAGTGTTTTCACCCGTGCTATGCACGGGATTATATTTCAAATCAAAATAATATTGTATATATATTATGGTATAGAATAATAAATATATATACTAAAAATTTTTAAAAAGTGATGCTTAATATTTTGAAAAAAAATTAATCTCTAATGTTTTACATGATAAAAGAATTTTAGAGCATTTAAAAAGAAGGTTAGGTTGGGTGGTAAGGTAAAAAGAGTTTTCTTAAAAAAAGTCAATTTATCAATATCCAACAAAACATATTATGTTATACCCATATATCAATACTTATAATATAAAAAAATAAATTATAACCAATTTATTTTCTTCCAATTTTAGAAAAAAAATCTTTCTCCTATTTTGTGCCCCTATAATTGTTGATTGCATTTAGATTAGCATTTTTCATAAACTTTAACGTATATTTAAAAAAAAATCTCCATAATATGGTTTTTAGAATTCTCAAAATTATTAAAAATCACCATCATTTCCCTCTTCTCTTACCTACCACCTAGTCATCAGATGCCTTCTATTACTTTCATATCTTCTATCATGGTACCACTCTCTCTATTATTTTTTTTTGTCATCTCTGTCACATCTCTACAATCTCCTTTCTTCTTCTCTCCCTTTTCTGCTCATCCTTGTAACCCATATTTCTTCTTCAACATTTCCTGCCACTTTTCAACTTCTCAACATTTTCTTCTCTCCCTCCTCCCCTTATACCTAACCTCTAAATTCATATCTCTGCAACCCAATATATTTAACTTTACCTATCATAATGAAAATATAAAATTGAAAATTGATTACAATGGTTGCAATGATTAGTATCTAAAAATGGAAATGAAAAATTGATAATATTTATAATATCCTCAAGTACTACAATCAATATCTATATATATATATATATATATATATATATTTAACATAGTAAATACATATTTACATATGAAGACAGCAATAAGAATACATAAATAATTAATGGTATCAAAAGTTATCCTTAGTGTTTGGGTTTTGCACTCTTATTCAAATCTAATGTCAAATTTGGGCCAGATATATACAAATTAAGTAGTATTTTAGAGTTGAATGTTCTATATCTTTCTCTTAAATTATAATGTTACTTTTTTAAAAATTTTTGGTAGAAGTGGTATTGTTATTATCATTTTTTTTTATCAAAAATGAATATTTTAAAAAAATCACGTTAAAAGGCTAGTAGTACTTTGTTTTTTATTTAATGATTTCATAATTTGGATTTCATGAATGGTACCATTCTTGATTTTTTAAATCCAAGACATTATTTCATGAATATTTTTTTATTTAATTTTGCCCTTTTACTTAGGATTACTAAGTTAAAAGATAAAATATTGTCATTTACTTTTTTACTTTGACTAAGTTTGGCAATACTTTCTTTTTATTTATCCTCCCACTAATAAATTTCAAACCAAATTCTACTTTTTTAAATTAGAAAGGCATGGAAGCCATTTCCTACTTAAGAAAATATTATTTGCACTCCATTTTTTATTATTTGCAATTCCACTATTTGTTTTATCATTTAGTCTAATTAATGAAAATTATATAACCAAAATGATTATTGAAGTGTGAATAACAAAAATAGAGTGTAAATAATCTTATTTATTTAAATTAATAAGAAAACATGAAAAGATGTTATATTTGTTATCTCTTCTTATGGTCTTATAGGAGTTTTAATTGTTGTAGAATCATAAATAACGCAAGACAATCGGAAATGTGATGAGTTGAAGTTCAAATAGGATAATATGCATATTAACCAACAATTTGAAATGAAATGATTTTAAAAAATAACCAACAATTTCAAATGTGAAGAGTAGATATGGAAGTTGAGAGGAATATATTTTATAAATTAAATTAAATGTAAAATGTTAGAAAAATGGAATTGATAGAAGGAAGATGCATGGAGGCTTGTTGCTAAAAATTCCTTCTCAAATTTATATAGATTATTATTATTAGTGACTCTTTTGTGGTCAATCATTTATTCAAAAAACTTCACAAGAAGGATAAAAAATCCCCTTGTTTTTCCTTGGATTGACTAAATTTAGTGTGTCTATCAATTTCATCATAGCGACTTGTCTGATACCTTATAAATCGCTTCAGCACTAAAATAGAAACGATCGATCATCTTATTATAAATGCATAACCCAAACCCTCGTTACATTTAGCTTTCTCTGTGTATACATAAGTTCATTTACGGTGATAAATTACTGCAATCCTAAATAGACTTTAGTCTATTTTTGAGGTATGTAAAAATGTTTATAGGTGTCGTGCGAAAAAAAAAAAAAAAGAGCTTTTAGGTGACATGCGGATGCATTAGTTCCATTGTTCCATAATCAATTAGGTAGGATGTGATTGGAACCTACCTTTCGTATTCGCATGTAACTCTAGTGTGGTTCTGGATCAAGAGCGATGCACGGTGGACATAGTATGCCTACATGGCATCCTACGTTCCATTCCCGAAAACTTGGTATCCTACGTGGTTACGGGATGCTTTATGATGAACAACCGTTGGATGTGGCTGTAGATGATCGAACCACCTAGATCGCCGGCAGGCGCATGTCAGGACGGGGAACGCACGTGACAAATGACGACAGTCGCGAGTGCGGATGCGTAGAGCAGACGTCATGTGCCACATCGGATGGGTAGCCTGAGATTCGACGGAAATGAACCACGTGCCGAAGCACCGTCTTAAGAAACAGATTCGTCTTCGTTTCCGTTTCTTTTCTTCGCTTTGAGTCTACATGTCGGCATTCCTATCTGGAGGCTCGAGCACAGAGAAGATAGAGGGATAGATAGATTAGATTCGCCATATATTGCACTGGTACAAGGAAAAGTCTTCCTTTTTTGGCTTGGTTGATAAATTTCCCGAGTAGAAGTTTTAGGGTAATATCAGACGGAAAAAGGAAAGAAAGGATAAATTACTATATCAATTCATAGAGATGAAGGCGATCGGCGTCATCTCCAGCTCAGTCCCTTCCTTTTCAGGTGCTGGTGGAAAAGATGGCTACGGCCACTCCCGCAAAGCTGCTGAATCTTTTTCTTCTTCTTCTTCTTCATTTACTGGTATTGGTTTAGGATTGAGGAGGGTCTGTCGTAAAACGAGGAAGTTTGTTGGGCTTTCCGGGCATGAGTTTCGTCGGAGCGATCACTTGGACTATTACTCCTCAGGAGGAGGGAATATCAGGTGTGGCGGTGGGTGTGGAGGAAAGAAAGAGAAGGACATGAACAAGAATGAAAAGGAGCACAAAGCAACGAAGAAGATGATGAAGAAGAGGTTGAAGATGCTGGAGGGCCTGTCCAGGGACTTGTCCATGTTCTCTTCTGGTGGGATGAATTTTGGTTTTGCTGATAATACTGTATTTGATGAAGTCAAAGCCAATACGATCGCTGTAAGTCCGGTCACAGCTTTTGCTTGTATTCTCTGTTAGTTAAGCATGCTGTAGCATCGGTTTTTTTACCCCTTTTTTTCTTGCCGCCCGCTTCTTTTTATTTCTTTAATCACAAGCAAGCTTTTTCTTCAGTTGAGTTTAGTTCCACCCCCATCCGGCCATCTCCCCCCCCCCTTTCTCTCTTTTCCTGAATCTTCTTTTATGTTGTTTATTTCTATTGTGCCCAACGAAAAAGCGAGCGAGTGAAGCTTTTCCTTTTCCGCGTTTCTTCAAGTAAGTGGAAATGCTTCTCTTGTCTTGTCTTTCGCTGATGGGTTTCTTGTTCGGGACTTCAATATTTACTTTTTCTTAGGCTTCTTCGGTCACAGTTGACAGAAAGGCGAAACGCATAACTATAACTATTGAACGCTTTCTTCTCACTTTCTCAGTATGCTTTCCTGAAACTCATGTTGTCATCAAACTGAAACTGCAGGAGGCGGCTGAGGTATTGCAGGGTCAAATCAAACAGCTAATAGCGAAGGATACGGAATTGAAGATGACAAGGAAAGGTGAGAAAATGAGGTCACAAATGCAAACTATGCCGGAATATGGACTTTCTTCGAGCTCAATGTCGTCAACCTCTTCAGATTCTAGTGACAATGAATGTGGGCAGGTAGTTGACATGAAAGAAGAAAATTTTCTAAAACCAGTTATTGAGCATGAATCAGTAGCCCTTCCTGGCCTTTTGGCGGAGGAAAAGGTCGTGACCAATTCCCAAACACCAATTTTAGATGTTCTGTCCGTCATTCAGAGCTCAGAAACTCAAGAACGAACCTCAACCATGGGTGCATGTGTCGAGATTGGAAGTTCAGGGAGTTCAGAGCAAGGATACTGCATTGGAAGCGGTGGCTTCTTTAGAGATTATGTGGATAATGTAAGTTCCATTGATGAGTGCCTAGCTGCAGGAGTATCACCCAAGAAAATCGAGGTTTGTATGGGTGGTAAATGCAAGAAATCGGGTGCTGCAGCGCTTCTGGGGGAACTTCAAAGGCTAGTTGGCATTGAAGGAGCTGTCTCCGGATGCAAGTGCATGGGCAAATGTAGAGATGGTCCTAATGTGAGGATTCTCAAGGGTCCTTCTGAGAGCGTTACTAACCCCTTGTGCATTGGTGTGGGCTTGGAGGATGTGGATTTGATCGTGTCCAATTTCTTTGGAGACAGTTCTGAACGTAGCCTCGCTGCAACATCATAGATTGTTACCGTAAGTAGGATGGGATGGCTAGCTGACGCCAGGTCTCGCTAGCATTGTGTAGATGCAACTGTTTTGGTTGGCAACGGGGTAACTATCTCTCCGTTTTCCATTATCACAAGGCAATTTCGCATTATTATTTTTCCACACAGTTATAGATTATTAGGGGAAATATTTTGCATTACCTAAATTCTAGAGTCATAGCTCAATGCTTTCCATGTCTGAGTATTGGCTCATAGGGCAGATGAGTTGGTAAAACATGGAGGTCCACGAATTGAAAATGAAGAGAAATGCCTGAGAAAATACGCCGTGATCGTGAACTGGCCTCGAGCTCAATATTTTCAACCTTATCTTTCAGAATCAAGTTACGTTAAGTGCAAAGAGGTGGTTAATGACATGAAAGCAGAAAATTTTGTAAGTCAGCCGTTCAGCATGAAAAGTTAGCCTTTCTTGAACTTTTGGTGTAAGAAAAGGTAGTGATGAACTCCAAGCACCTATTTCAGAAGCTCTGTCCATCATTCAGAGCTTATCAACTCGAGAATAAACCTCAACTATAGCTGCATGTATTGAGAATGGAATGTCAGGGGGTCCAGGTGAGGGAGACTGCTTTGGGACTGGTAGCTTCTTTTTTTTTTTTTGAAAAGGGGACTGGTAGCTTCTTTAGAGATTACGTGGACAGTGACATTAAGGGCTCAGTTGCAGGAGCATCACCCGAGAAAATCAAAGCTTGTTTTTTTGGGTGGTGACTGCAAGAATCTAGTGCTGCAACTCTTTTGGGGGAACCTCAGAATGCAAGTGCATGGGCAAATGTAGAGATGTTCTTAATGTGACGATTCTCAAATGTCCTGCTGAGGCTGCTAATAATCCCTCGGGCATTGGTGTAGGTCTGAGGATGTGGATTTGATCATGGCCAATTTCGTTAGAGAGGGTTCTGAATTTAGCCTCCCTGCAACATCTTAGGTTGTTATGCTAATGTCACTTCTCTCCGATATTGTGCATATGTAACTATTTTGGTTGGCAATGTGGCGAACAGTTCTCCGTTGTACATCATGACAAGGCAATTTTACAGTTGTACATTCATGGAAGACAAAAATTTTGCATTACCAAAATTCTAAAATCAATGCTTGTTTTTATACGCGCCCCTGTATGAACTGAAAAAAGCAAACATCATTACCGTCTTGGGCCAACAGTTTGTGGTCAAAATCCTCAATGCTTTGCATGTTTGAATATTGGCACGTGGTCAGATGAGTTGGTGCAACGCTTCGTGAAGTAATCTAGGGTTCTCTGCTTTGCAGGGCTACTGTTTTGCTGATTAACGGATACTTCCAAGGAATTCTCATGGCCATCGAGCATCTGGAGAATAATAAATTTCAGATTTAGTTCACATAATAAATAGGTCCCAACTATGCATGGCCATCACGCGCGAAAGGCTTGTGAAGAAAAAGGTTCTTCGCTGTTGTGTACTTGGATATACTACAGAATATGGGGAAAGAGAAGATGACCTGTCCGAGATTTTCCAACTTGCTCTGCACAACATCCCTACACAAGTATGAAATTAGGGAAGTCTCAGCTGTGAAACACACAACAATTTCAAGCCCCCTCCCCAAAAAAAAAAAGATTGCACTGATAATAGCAAATAAATGCATGTTACCATATTATGTCATCGACTGTGTCATTTGCCAGCAGATAGTATATGTTGACTGATGATACCTAAGCATAAAAACGAAGCCAGTCAAACACACAAGAAATTCCAGTCAAAAATTGGTTATACAAACATGAACATTTTTCTGAGAAATCTTATAGTAAACCATGATAGCAGCATGCAGCATCTATGCCCTGTAGTGATTTTGTGGCTTTTATGGAGAGACAGTTATACGAGGGCTTCTGAAAAATTAAAAACCCATGTGCTAATTTAAAAGCACAATTATATACCTATTTTGTTTTTCTTTTTGCTTTCCTCTTTTTTTTCCCCCTTTTTCTTATTTTGAGAATCCATTCCAGCTTCTAAAGATATTTCATTGAACTTGTAGCGCAGTTTTAGGACCTGATCTTCGATGACTATCTATCATGCTGGTTGAATTATAGAAGAAAGAAGAAACTCATATCTATTCTATGTATAACCATGCATAAATCATCCATTAGATGAGCACATTACTTTTATTACATTGAGGCTAAAAGAATCTTAATATATTGTTCCAAAGGGACATCCATCAGAGAATAATTCCTCCTAGATATTTCTTTAGCTCCATTAAGGTAAAAATTGAAAAGCAAAGCCAACAAAACATGTCAAAGCAACCATGCTAAGGGAATGCAAAATCAACAAATAGGCTTCCGAGAAAAGGCCCCAATACATGCAAAAATAAAGTGTGCAGAATGGTGTCAAGAGAAAGACACGGACAGAATGACTTGTATAAAATAAAACAACGCGCAGGATTCTCAGTGGCTGGTGAAAATTATCAGTACAGATGAAAAAGCGAATATTTCAACCACAAAAATGATATAAATGACAGTGATTACCTGACCAATCCTATGTGCTCGATCTTCTGCCTGAATCAGGTCACCTGGTGTCCAAGACAATTCTGCAAAGATTACCGTGCTTGCTGCTGTTAAGGTTAATCCAAATCCACCAGCTTTAATAGACAGCTGTACCAATAAAACATTACGACATGACAATGCAAAATCACATGAGAAAATAACTGTGGTCAAGGATGAAGAAAATACAGAAAAAGTGCAATACCACAGCAGCCTTTATACTGCTTTTCTCCTGAAAGTCTGTAACTAAAGCTTGCCTTGATGCAGCTGGGGTACCACCATCAATACGAATACACCCAACTTTTTTCTTCTGCAAACATGATAGTGAATCCTAGATTGTAGAGATCTTAACAAATCTTACATAAACTCAAAGGCCTTACAAGCAGGTATTGATGTATTGAGCAGATCATTGGTTGGTGATGTGCAAAAATTAGGAACTTGCAGCCAGCCTGTGCATTTAGAACTTAACAATGTAAGTGAACAGCATTAAAATGGAAGGTTAGTTCAAACAAAGAAAACAGCAATCACTATTGGTAAGAGTTCAACCATGTAGATAACATCCACCGCAACTAAATGCAATCTAGAAGACAGCGCATCTTGGAAACCTTTGTTTTTATTACACCTCATTTACATTCAACACCGCCTCTCAAACCCCAACCACCTCAATCACCCTCCCCCTCACAGACAGAAAAAACCCAAGCCAAAGTAGCCTGGAAACATCAACATCCATTTCCTCCCCAATCATACAATTACAAACTTCCATCATGGTGCAATTTTTATCAACTTGTTTGACATGCATACTAATAGCTCCATCCTCTAACCACAAAATCATATACAGATTACATATAAGGGAAAAAATCGATTTACTGATGGCTGTCTTTAACTAGTGGCAAATAATTGACATAAGAAAATGTCCAGATACCTCTATCATAGTTCCCAAATAATCCAGAACAGCTGGAATCTTGGCTTCAGCTGAATCAGTATATATCTGAATTTTAAAGTGGTATTATTAGCAAAATGTCATACTGAAGTCAAGTAGAACACATCAAACTGTTAAAAAGAGCAGAAAGCACAAAATCATGGCTCGAATGGATGAATTACAGAGGTCGGAGAAAGTATTAAGTTACTAGGAAACACAAGTTTACAATAAAGTTTTTATGAACGGTTAATGATCACTTAGGTCCTGTTCCCAACGGTTTATTCATGAGCAGCTTTTTTGAAATTTTAAAAATACTCCTTCTATCCCAATTTTAGTTCATTTGGGAGTTTTTCTATTTTTTATTTTTTATGCACAGTAAAAAGAATGGGGCGAAATGAGTCTTGCTTTCCTACTATCTCATGTTCACTGGCGGACTTAATATTAACAATTGCACATCATTATGAATTTTGGGCCAATTTCTCATCCAATAGGTGATGAAATGTTCCTGCAAGAGAAGTTGATGATTTGTGAAACAAACATGAGAAGTACATGTCATAGGCAGCGGTGGACTGTTTGAGTCTTCTAAAGATTTTAATGGCAGAAATATTGTGAGCCCACCAACCTCAAATTTCAAAGTGAAATGGTAGATAGCAATTAGAAATTACTGAAAAAACGGTTGCGCATGACAGCAAATCTCTACAAGTAAACTCAAACATACAATTTTTTCTTTAGAGGAAGGAACTACCCTTGTTGTAACCCTAAGGACACCATTTGTAAACTATAGCTAAAGCTCATTGTAATTCTAAAACGACTAGTGCTATTGGAATAAGCCTTTTATCACAGGCACACCGAGATTTTAAACCTGTAAAAAGAAAATCATGATATTTTGTCACACATCTATCTTTTAATCAATTTGATCTCCCTATCAGAAGTAAATAGAAAGATGACATTGCTTAATAAATAAGTATCATCCTACTAGAAAAGGTTATTTTAGAAATAACCCTCCCAAGAATCTAGACCTTTTTCACATCAAATTAATTTTCAGTAATACTTTCTCAGTGAAGAGAAATTCATTTCCAACATCTCTATTGAATAGCGTAACATAAAGTTGTATGTCAGTATTCAACTTACGATCCATAGAAGGTAATATTAATAATGTCCTAGTAGACAAATAAAAGGGGTAATGAGTATAAGATATGCAGCACTGGTAAGCAATAGTAGATATGATTTGAATGCAGAAAACACAGTGGTTTTACTTTTTTAAGATGAGGCCAAGTCTATTAACAATCTATTCAGTGAGATAAAAAAAAAGTGGTCTAGTCAGTGAAAGCGTCACATTAGGTTTCTTCCAAAATGCCAGCTGTATACCGTTATCAAAATCTTGCTATGCCATAAAGTTTTTGCCTAGCGGAGTGTATAATTGTCATTTTGAAAGAAATTTGCTACGCCATAAAGTTTTTGTGATGATATCATTTACCCTAAAGTGTTCACCAGATTCACCCTAAAACGTGTGACAAAAAAAGCCATATACAGTTAGTTTAGCCCTTATAATAACCCCACAGTTTAAGAGGGCAAAATGCTATTGACTGTAATTAAAGCAAAAAAACTCGGAAACAAATGTTGAGCAGTTTTAATTAGGTCTTTGCTGATAGCAGTGTTTCCAAATCAAATCCACTGCGAGGAATAAGTACAGTGTAGTATAAATTCACATCTCGTAGTGAAACTTGAAAAATGACAGCTATGCTTTTTTTTCTTTCTGTTTTCAGTAGAAATGTATAACTTTCAATGACATTTTTGGCCCGTGACAATTTGGATTAAATGTACCCTTTTCCTTTGCTTTCTAGCTTATCTGCCTTTCAGTCAGGACCCAAATTTGCCCCACAGGCATTAAAGAATAAATGAAATTCTTAATTGAACTTTAGCTCCGAAAATCTCAGAAAAAGAAAGTAGAAGTAGAAGTTCAGGAGGAAGCAAAGATAAAAGAGAAGTAAGAAGCCATAGAAATTCCAAATAGATTTCCCAAGAATTAACCACCTAAGGTAGATTTACAAGCAAGCACTGCTCGCACCATAAACTCAACTAAGCATCATTTCATTCCACCACTATCCAAAGCTATTAGCACAATAACCATGCCAGGGCAGAAAACTAACTAAAATAGATTGAACTGGACAGTAAAACAGCAAGCAAGTTCACATGTATATAATTTTCTTAATTCTCCAGTGCTCCAATTCTTATCTATGCATTTTGCATCAGTCAAATCATCATAGACAAAAAAAATTAGCACTTTAAAGTTATTTACCTATTCTTTCTGTTGCTCCAAGCCTCAACTGATTCCAGGTAATAGCATTCATAGCATTTATTAAGTTTTACTTCTAAAAACAGACAGAAAAAGTTCTTAGCTAAGTTGCTAACGTGTGTTTCTAATTATGCACATCAACTTTTTGTCAAAGGTGTTAACAGAGAAGAAAGTTGACAGTAAGATAATCAAGCAGTAGAATATTAATAAAAGAGAAAAAGCACACCACAAAAGCTGAACCTCCAGGACTCCATACCTTATTAATGAGATTCTTCTCAGCATATTTAAGTGACTCAGCTTCCTCTTTGGAGTGACTGGACCTAATTTTGGATTTAATTATCTCCAACTATAGAATAGCATCAAGTTAGAAGTATTCCTTCTTTGACCATTAGGAATTAAGGCAGCTATCATAATAAACATTGAAGAGCAAATATGAATAAGCTTACACAAGAAGCAGTTACTTTTCAGTATATTAGGAATGAACTATTCACATTTTGGGATGAGGAAGCAAGTGGAACATAACTTTGAGGCTAGGTCTGCAATTTGTAAATGGCAGAAGAAACAGAAAGGAGGTTTGATCCATACTGTGCACATTCAGTAGACAAGGAACAGAAAGAACAGTGAACTCAGAAACGTACTGCCCCCCCAAACTAAAGAAAGGAACAAAAAAGAATGAAAAGTCAAGGAATGTGGGGATCACTTCTGGTAGACAATCAAGGGCCGAGAGCAACATCCCGGGTCCCAAATCACTGAAATGTTGATGTAACAAGAGAAGCCCGAAAGTCAAATTTGAAAAGAAAGGAGTCCAAACGTCAAATTTGCGAAAAGAGAGGCCTATTTTAATAGAACATTCATACAATCGGAAGCTTGGATCACCTCACAAAATAAGGCATTAACATGTCTCATTTCCTTCTCCCCTAAATCCAAGAACACCTGGAGCCAAAAGAAAAAAGGGAAACAATATTAACAATAGCGGATGAGTACTACATCAGGAAACAAATTAAAAGATGGAAATTCCAAGGAAGCTCAGCGGTGCCATCAGTTGAAACTAAATTAATGCTTATAATATCCTAGAGAGGAAAGTGAAACCAAATACCCTACAACATCCATCACAACATACTTATTCTTGCATTGAAATGTATGACACAAGCTCTTTAAAAGGATCAATAGAAATTTCTAACTCAAGAAAAGACCAAACAGAACAACTTATACCTGTTGTCGGCGCTTTACAGGTAGCTCCGAAAGGACATCCTTTTTAAGTCTGCGAATCATCACTGTTGCTTTCATCAAATTGTGCAGCTCGTCATGATTGCTTGCTCCCTGATAGACTCCAAATGTGCCCTAGAATATGATGAGTACAATTATCGACTTGAGTAATGAAAGCCGTGGACAATATAAATTTAACAAACACCAGTCACATATCTAACTTACACCCTTGCAGTACCGATTGCCATATTCATGGACATTCTTATATACACCAGGATACAAGGCTTCCAGCTGTCAAATACAGTTTTAGGAACTCCAACAAAATGAAATAAAAAAAGAGACAGCAAAGCAAAAAAAAAAAAGAAAAGAAAAAAGATTTCAACTGCAAAGAGAAACAAAAGTTACCTTTTATGAGAGTTACCTGTTTAAATAATTCAATCGGTCGTGACAAAGCAGGCGTTCCACTGAGCAGCATCACAAATTGAGCTTTCTACAAATAATCAATATCTGTGTGAGCGAGATAGAAAGATAGAAACAGAGATGTTTTCTACAGCATTAGTTAGTACGAAAATTCCTATTGAAAAAGACTTTTAATGTGAATGACATCTTTCAATTATTGTCTATTCTTTTCCATCTTTTCCTAAGATGCAGGGTCCTATGACATAGCCACAACTGCCATTTCATCTAACCTGCCTAATCCTTCTTTGGGGCCCGCCGGGAGGGGAGAGAGAGTGAGAGAGAGAGAGAGAGAGAGAGAGAGACCTGCAATATGGGAACTGTAGCATTTGTCCTTTTTGCTTGGCCATTTTTTAAGAAATGTGATTCATCTGCAATAACTACCTGTACAAACAAATCATTTATTGATTAAAAGAAAAGAAATACTAGCCATTTTTATGTAAAGAAAAGGAACATTATTTGTTACACAGTCTGCAAAAAAATGTATAAGCAGAGATTAATATGAGCTTAAGATTGCTGATACTTTAGAATATATGTTGTTAAAACAACATAAGAATAAAAAAGGGGGGTTCAAACCAACTAATGGAATTTAAGCTAAACCCAGCAATGTTGTTGTTTGCAGATGATAATTCTTAGTTTCGATAATATTTACATAGAAGACACGCAACTAAGAGGATGAAAATACTTACTCACCAAGTTAAATAAACATTCTGACCAATTAGCACCTTACTGCCAGGGAATATTGTTTTTGCACCATCTTAGTTTCAACCAAAGAGTAACCATTGGTTTTGTCACTCTTCCCCCCCCCCCCCTATATTGGTAGTCAAATTTAGAAAGACAATATTTTGACATAAACAAAGAATCAATGACAAGCTCCATTCCATTACAGACATCCTACACTAATTCTTCATATGCTCTCTCTCTTCCCTTATCAGATTTTATCTATAAATGCACTTGTTGGCACAAATAGACCAACAATCTAAGATATCACAATGAATTCAATGCAGTGCGTTTTTCACAGATTTAGGTGGTAAAGCAAGTATTAGGGTCAGATGATGATCTGACTACTGAATCATTCATTCAAGATATTCAGGCGAGAAAAGGGCGTTGATCATTTCCTTGTCAGAGTTTGATTCAAAGATTCAAGTATTTCCACAAAGCAGAAAGAGTCAAGCATCTTAAAGATTCTTCAGGTTGTAAACTGTATTCAAGGCTGGCGTTGATCAATGCAACTTTACTATAATCATCAAATGTACTGCAATATGATCCTTCACTGTAAAATTGTGACTCCAACTGGTTAGGCAATTCATCTAAGGCCACAAGCCAGAGGGCCTTCTTTTTTTCTGTCCTCACTCTTCAGCTGCTTGAAGCTGTCAGATTTTTTGGTCAGTAATTTGGAACATTGAGATTGATGAAAACAGAATTATGGTCAAGAGGCCATGGAAACCATTATCATACTAATACTATGGAGTTCAACTTTGATACAGCAAAGGTGGTGGATGAAACGGCACCACATGCAGTGGTTTGAGGCTCTTGGTAGGCAGAACTACTGCCAGGGTTTCTAGAAGGACAAAGGAGGAGAATAAGAAAAAGAAGAAACGAAGAGAAAAAGAAAAAAGTTACAGAATAAATTAAAGGTGAAGTGGATATTTATTTTGAAACCGTTCCTTTCTTGTTTTGACTATCAAATTTAACAAGAAGTCTCATGTTTAATTGTTGATGTACATGCTTTGTTCTAAGGTACTAATGCAGTCATGATTCGAACCCATTTAATCTAATGAGGCGGCAACGCGTACATGTTTAACCAAGAAGGTACTAACAGGAGAGCTTTACCCTTAGGCAAGCAAAATATCATTTACATAAAAAAAATTCCTGCACAAACCCATCAGGTCTAACAAAAGTACTGCAATTGGAAACAAAGAAGAATTATGAAATGCTAAAGGAGGAAGCTTGAATCTCAAGAAAAAGCTATCATGTGGAAAGATTCCTCTTTTATCAAAATAGAGCTTCAAATAATCAAGTATACTAACCTTAAATTCTGAAGCCATCAGGACATCCTGAAACTTAGGGACAATGTCATAGGATATGATGTTAAAAACACCATCAAGTTGGATGGTCCTCTTGGTGTTTGACGCCAGTATATTAAATCCACCCCTGTTTGACCCACCACATTGAGATAAAACCACCTATTGATGAACATCTACATCAGTAATAGATTTGTCATGAATATCAACATCAGTGAGACAGCTCAAGAAATTTTGAAATTGAAATGTTCATCAACCAAACTTATCCAGTAGCAAATGGAATTAGAAAACTTCGAAGAAATCTTTGAACAGAATGGTCTTCTTGTAACTGATCTGTACAGACTACGTTTCTTGAAATAAAAAAAGACTAAAAAGATAAAGCATCAAATTATCAGGATATATAGGAAAAACTGCCTAGGACTATGTTTTTGCCGCAGCTTCCATAACCTATTCAACTGTTCAGACTTCAAAGTACAGTTTTGGTGGAAATCTAGAGTATTTAGATGCAGGCAACCGGGTATCCAAAGTTATGTTTCAGCTATCACATATTTTCTTTTGACCTTTATGTTGATACAATTGTCTAATTTCAGAATTTCTACAACAACATGTGGTGCTGCATATGTACTGAATTGTTTTATTATTTAGAAAGCAACAAAGAGAAAAATAGGAATCACACCGGCACAGTTATCATATGCACCTTTATTATGAATCTGAATTTTGAGGCAATAAGATCATTAATCTTTATGTTACTTACAATTGGATTAATATTTACTCGAAAAAAAAAAGACCAGCACAAGCACATTTTTTGGCTTGTACACGGATAAAAGAGCAAACTTAACTTACAAGTATTTCTGACGAAGGTACATTCAGCCAATCTTGAATCATCTACAGTGGAACATCAGAAGGGTGAATACTGAACACGATAGGTAACATAAATTCAGCAAATGAATAAACTTACAGAAGCCCAATGAAGCCTCAGCGATGATGGAGTGAGAACTAGAACTGGCCATGCTTCACGAATACATGAGACAACAGCAATAGCCTAAATAAATAGAAGAAGAAATGGCCATGCTTCAGCCAAAGTGTTAGAGCATATACAATTGGCGAATAGGTGGTGAAACCATGAGAGAATTTGCCAGTAGTGAGATTAACGGGCCATCATAAGCACCTAAATAAATAAAAGAGCCAACATCTGAAAAACTGTGTCCAATACCCACATCTTAAAAGATAATGTCTTGTATTAAGAGCTCAAGTATGATAATCCAGCAACAAGATTGGAGGTTTTTGGTAAGTACATCACTCTTTACCTGCAGAGTCTTCCCAAGCCCCATCTCATCAGCTAGGAGGGCACGCCCTCCATGTTGGAGCACAAATCTGCAGAAAAATGTAAGACTAGTATTTGGAAATGAAAGCAGAGTGCAGCTAGTGATGAAATGCAATCCAATTATTCACCGTGTAATAATAGAAACACTGGGTTTGTTTGGATAGGAGTTTATTTGAGATAATTACTGTAGCATTTTTTTGATGTGATGTATGTGAGATAAAAATATGATTGAAATTTGTGAAGTAAATTTTTTTATCTAAAATTATCTCAATCCAAACAAACCCATTGACAACCATGTTCGATATACCTAACACCATCGCGCTGGAAAGGCAGAAGCCTCGATTCAATACTTGCAGGAATGAGGTGATAGCGAGCTGGTGAAACAAAGAGAAAAACATTTGTCTCAGCCAATTTACAGGACAATATTGAGAAAAATGGACCAACAGTGAAGACTGGAATAGTTGGAAGAAAGATAATGTAATCAAAGTTCCAGAAGAAGACAAAATCAATTATTATCTTTAAGAAGAATCACAGGAGCTATTTTGTCTTGGTCATTAAGAAACACAAAGGAAAGGAGTCAAGGTCTTTTATCCCAAACTGCCTGTGGAAGCTGACAGCTGAAGTGCAGAATCAAATTTACCTTGAAGATCTGGAACTGCAGATGCAGCAGCAATAGCTCGCCGTACTAAAGGATCTAAATTCTCGACCTACGTGCCAGCAAACAACATCAACACAATAAAGATAAGAATAATGATGTTAGAATCCCCAGAATGAACTAGTATCTAGCTTGATCTCTTTCTTTATCCTAGGCTGGGCTGCTTGACTAGTTTCATGGTCATAGAATTACTAATTCCCATGTTAATCTGTTCAGCTGTGAGCAATGAAATTGCCAAAAAATCAGAAACACGTGATACTACAACTGCTCGAAAAAGTCTCCAATAAATGATTTAGAGATCGTTACCTCCAGTTTGGCGTCAGATATATCACTAAGAACTTTTTCCACTGTAATCAATGAAGACATGGGAAATATCCACAATCTGCACAATCAATTGGAATCATAAAGCTGCAGCAGTTAAGAAAGACATGGTACAGAAAACAAAAATAAAATGAAAAAAAAGCAGAAAAGGAAAAGGAAACAAACACAATCCCTTATTTGCACATTTAATTTCCGTAAGTCGGGAGTAGAAAGATCTTAATTATTTCTTCTTGCAATTCATGCATACATAAGTAAATGCGTAAGAGGGAAGCAGGACAACACACCTTTCTTTCACATTCCAACTGGCCTTTTGGATCTTACGGAATGCTGCTACAATTAGCTGGCACAACATGAAGACTAATGCATAAGGACAAAGAAAAACAATAGAAGTCAGTTAAATTTCCAAATAATTAGATTTGACTACCGGGTCATATGGGAATTTTGCAGCAACATTTCCACTAGCATGTACGAATAACCTGACCGAGAGTTTAGGAGGCTGTTGCTTTGAGTAGTCATCTTCGTGATTTGTTTTCAAGGAGAAACCACAATGAGCAAGAAAGTTTAGTGGTTATGCAGACTGAAGAAGTAGAACTTACCTACATGCTTGATGGAAAATGCCAAGAAAGTTACCAGTTACGTCACAAGCACTGGACGAAGGAGATATCATAGATGCAGGAGGTGAAGGATCAATCTGCCATGCACAGCAGAAAATAAGTTACAGATTAATAATACTCCTTGAGGACGCATTAGGATCTCATAATTTAAGCAAAAAAGGAATACGAAAGGTAATGTAAAGGAGAAAATAATTTCCATCAAATTTTTGCCCAAACCAAATGCAAGATTAACTAAAATATTCTCAATGGTAACATCAAGAGGATAACATGTTCTATATTTCTTTCTTTTAGAGGGCATCCACACAAAATCTGCACTTGGCTCTAGCGGTTGAAATTACATTAAGAGTTGATACAGAATTCTGGACTCTCGAACAGTTTGGTGATGGGATCCACATGTCTATGGCTTTCTGGGGAGAGTGATGATTGCAAAACCACTTTGGTCGGGAGATTCATGCAAATAGAAAACAGAAAAAATGGAAGAATTTATGATCTCAAGAAAAAAAAAACCACAAACCTCAAAATTTCATAATCTCCCAACAAAAGAAATTTAAAGACAGAAACAGCTAATCAAGTAAGCCCTGTAAAAGCCTAATTTTACCCCCATCAAATATTTGTATATCTGTCAAATGTGCATAACGATTATATCTTTTGTACCATCATTTTCAATCTCAGACAACAGAGAGAAATGACTATGTTCCTTCCTAATTCTTACTAGTGCGAAAGAAAAAGTTTTAATCTTTTGTCTGCTCTTCTCTTCATTTTTATCCTAATTTAGAGTAATCTCTTCTTTGTATTAAATTCCACGAAGGATAGAGTAGATGTAGCCTTGGACCAAATGCGAAGAAGCTTTTAACATTCCAAGACGTACAAACAGCCAACAGACTTTGCATAGCAAAACCAGGAGCCTAAAGTACTTGAAACAAATATGTGAATGCTGAATACCCACAAATGGCAATAAGGAAAAATAATCCGAGCAGACAATGCTGTGGGAGAAAAGTAAACCTAACCATAAGCAATAAAATTATCAGTAGTAGTAAATATTAACCTTCTGGGTGGGACGGGGGTCGATCGGAGATCTCCCCAGTGGAGCAGCTGGTTGAGGCTTGGAATGTAAATTCTGTTGGGGCCCATAACCATGAAAAGAAAACCCGGAGTCCAAAGATGTAGCACCACTAGTCACAGTCGTGGAAGTAGCAGGAGAAGAAGAGGGGGACTTGCGTTCTGCAATTTGCTTGAGAGCGTCTCTTTCCAGAGAATCCAATTCCTCCGCGCTCAAATCCCAGTCGTCCATATCCATTCGGTTTACGTCGTTGGGATTACAATTCCACAGTTTCAAAAGTAAATTTTGCGCCTTACTCGGGCAGATGTGTGCCTCCGACACAACTACGAGTCTCGCAGCTTTGCCCCATTTGGAAAAAAACAAGAAAAAAAAAAGATTTCGTGCACTTCTCTGACACTGGTATCGAGCAGGCAGGGTTAGTTGGGAAGTTCGTGAACTAGAAGAGAAGGACTTGTGCCTAATTCGGACCTTGGAGTACAAGAGGAGGGAGGGAGACGCAGGCTCTGTTTGGATTGTAAATTATTTGAGATATTTTTACTGTAGCACTTTTTGTGATGTGATATATGTGAGATAAAAAGATGTGTTGGAAATTGTAATGATGATGTAAGCAAATAAATTTTGACAAATAAGCCTCAATCCAAACAAACTCTAATTTGTACCTTCTTCACTCTTCTCCAGGACTTGGTTTTAGGATTAATTATAATTTGTGCCCCTTAACTATCATGTATTTGTGATTGTACTCTAAATCATGTATATGTTGTAATCATATACATGCCTTATACTATTAAATGCCCTAGGAAGAAATTGGGGTCTATTGCTAATAAGAGATTGTGTGAATTTACCGTTATACCTTAATTATTTGGAGAAACTTAATGAACCAATGTTACAAAAGCAAAAAATGTTCCCTGTGAACAAATTAAGGGACTAATTAAACTAATTATTTACTAATTAAACTACTTGAGTAACTAATTAAACTACCTGTGAGTTTTAGCATCTTCAGAGTTCTAGCATTTTTAACCATTATATGCATATTTAAGCAATGACACCAATTGAGGAAGAAGATGGTGCCATGAATTGGTGCCAATTCTGATTGACAGCTCTTGAGATGACAATGTTGTAGTTTACTATCTCCGTAGATAGCGGTGGAGAAAAATGAACCATAGAATGAAGGATATGTTAGGGAAGAATTTGTCGGTTTTCCTTAGTTGATGAGAGTTAAAGCATCCATAAGAGAAGAAGCACAATATGCAGTAGAACGCAAGCACAATCTGAGCATCTTGTTCATAAAATTTGCAAGAATCACTGTTGTACAGGTAAATAATCTTTGATATTGTCACTTTAAAATACAAAATTTTCATAGTACTTTTTTAAGACAAAAGGTCCCAAAAGGGAGGCTGACTAGCGTTGGCGGTTGATTGGTTGCAAATTATGAACGAATAGTTACTAAAATTGGAGAAATTGATAAAATGCCAAATCTGACTCTAGTGAATGGATGATGTACCATCATTTGAATATACTATTGATGATTAATGGCATATGAATGGATGATATATCATCACTTTAAGACTTGCTGCTTTGTGCGTAGAAAGAAGTTTTCTTTATATTGACTTTGCTTGTATAAATATGTTGTATTGGTCATTGTTTGCAGGAGAGTTTTATATGTCAAAATTTTCCTTTATAAGCTATTGTAAGTACCTACATGTATAGCTATTTAACTAGCTGTTACTTTCAACTAATGTTTTGAGTGTCGTTGGTGAACTAAAATGGTTTGCACTTGCACCCCTTGAAGTTTTTTTATTCTTAATAGTTTTCTGGTGTTTTGTCTTTCCTTTGCTAATACTACTTGGCAAGTAGCACGAAGGGCAAATATGGTATAAATTTCTCATCTCACTCCTTAAAACAAGTTTTTAATGGCACATTTTCTAACATGGATTGAATATACGACAGAATCCTTAAGTTTAAGGTTGATCAGTGCTATCTCTTAAATCATTAGGAATGTGAGTGCTAGTGTTAGAAACATCAAGGGAGGTTTCCGCAATTTTTCCTAGAACCAATTGTGACTTTTTAACTTTAATGGCTAATGACCAAGAGCGTTTTAGTAAATTAAACTAGTAGATGATGGTTATCATCTACATGTCCTTGACATTTGGATAGCTCAAAAAGGATTAGATTTTTCCTGTCCTTTATTCGTTTCGTCGTTCTTCAAAATTCGGGATGTCATCATACTTCCCTTATTTTCTCATAAAATAAGTTCTTTCAAAAAAGATGCTAATTTTGCACTTTATCCAGTAGTGATGTCTATTTTTAGATGCTAAATATTTTTCCCTTTTCAATGCTTGTTTTCATGTATTCTTTTACAATACTCTGTGATCATTTACATGTTTAATGACTTTATTTTTTACTGCCCACATTTGTGCAGCAGAGGTTTTATTTATTTTTTTCACCTTTTTTATTGATACTTCTCAATTATTGGGTTGCAATTTTATGTATTTTCTTTTTTTAGTTAACTACAAGAAAAACTATACAATTAAAACAAAAAAGAAAATATTGTGAAAACTTTTTACTTTTGTCTTGATTTTGACAGAAGGAATTGAATCAATGGTTTGTTTGGACAGTGAACAAATTCCAAATAATATTTTGCTTGTATTATAAACACATTTTCTAACTCACCTTTTTGTATTACCAACTACCTTTTTATTTCACATATATCACATTACAAAAAGTGCTACAGTAATTATTCCAAATAAAATTTCAAATAATACCCTATCCTTTTGTTATTTTGGTAAGTCAGACTTACCTCACAAAGAAGGCTGTGCACCCAAATATTTGGGCATTGATGTTCAAGCACTGTGTATGAAATCCATTCTTGGCAAGTATTGGCTGGTTCGGTCGTATTGATTGGCATCCAAGGAGCTAAAATGGTTCAACCGAAAGATGAGGGGGAATTCGCAACTGACTTAAAGAGTTTTTGGGGGAAAATGCAATTAGTCCACAAGAGGAGGGACGGCAAAATACTCGGTTCTGACCGGACTCGTGTCTTTTCTTTCCTTCCGCTGTGAAACTCGCAAAATTAGTTACTGCAAGCGGAAGCGGGAAGCTGCCACCGGCATTAAAAACAGTAGGTGAGAATATGCCTAACGCAGTACTATGTATTACTAGTTAGTTATCAATTATCAACGCCTCTTTACTCCTTCCTGAATAGCGGAAAAGGACGCACATCATCATTCATCTGTGCTGCTGGTTCCGCTTCCACCGCACATCGTTGTCCTGTCATCTGGGTACTTTCAACTTTGAATTGACCATGCTAAGCAGAGCAGAAAAGACACGGCCCGGAAATTTCATCTTTACAAGCTACAATTTCAGTGGCCCTGACCTTTTTCTTGCATACGCATGTCATGTACCCACGTCTCTCCTGCGAAATTGTCTAGTAATTTCCTTGACTGAACCCATTCGATGAAGTTCAATTTAATGTCGCACCCTCTAATCTAGTGGCGCCACCAATTTATATGTATCCGTCGTTGACGACTATGCCATCTTATAACCCCTGAGCCTCCTACAGAGTTGAATTCGTGCCTCTCAGATGCCTTCTTCCTGTATCCTTTGTTGAGCTCGACATCTTCCCACTGTACTTGAGGTAAAGCTCATCAATCTCTTTGATGGATTCTAAGTTCCTGTATTCTACCTCTTGTCAATCGTTATATTTGTATGACATAATATCCTTCCACGCCAACAACCCATGTAATTGTTCTTCTCAACACCACGTATGTAATCGTATTGGTCTCGTTCGGCGTAATGGTGTTGAATGCGGAGATAATTTTGGGCAAGACTTTAAGAGTGCCTAAATAGCTGACCACAGCCTTGTAAATGGCCTTTCTTTCAAGAAGCACAAGAGCTCATCGAGTGTCTAGAAACTCTTACCTATCTCATATTAGAACCATTATGTGACTGTGGCAGGCAATCAGACCATCATGCTGCTAAACCTACTGGTGCTAGCATTTCTACTTTTTGGAGCCGGCAACCTTGCTTTCAACCTTCCGTCTGATGGGATACTGAGGATCGCTCTGAAGAAGCGGCCTTTGAATCTTAACAACATCCATGCGGCAACAATCTATGCCGGACACTTGGGAAACTTCACTGGCCACGTGGAATCCCTAGAACGAAATGTTGTGTATCTGAAGAACTACTTGGATATGCAGTATTATGGTGAGATTAGTCTCGGTACACCACCACAACATTTTGATGTTGTCTTTGATACTGGCAGTGCTAATCTTTGGGTCCCATCTTCAAAATGCTTCTTTTCTGTAAGTCAAGTCAATGTATAATTTGAAATACTCATTCCACCCCTGAAACAACATCACAAAGCATTATTTGTTTCAGGTTGCATGCTATGTACACTCCAAGTATAGGTCAAGGCAATCCAGCACATATACAGAAATTGGTAAATAAAATGTGCTACTCTGAACCACTCTTTTATGTATGCAAGTACTATGTGCTTTTGTACAAATTTGGCTCCTATGCGTGAGGTTTCTGGTGTAGGAAAATCTTGCAAAATCCCTTATGGCTCGGGATCCATCTATGGATTCTTTAGCAGAGATAATGCAGGACTTGGAGGTATCACAATTAAGGAACAGGTGCAAGATAGCTTGTTTTCCTGATAATGTTTCTGTGGCTTTTTGGTTTAGATTGAAATTTTGGATTCTGAAAGCTATAGTTCCTTAGGTGTTCACTGAGGCAACATGGGAAGGACTGTTCACGTTCTTAGTTGCACAATTTGATGGGATACTTGGACTTGGATTTGAGGACATTGCTATTGGACGTGTAACTCCAATTTGGTATACTATGCTTGATATATTCATTAAACTTTTTTTTTTGGGGGTATTGCAATTTGTTGTTGTGATGGCTCAAGCACGATGTGGCTTTAACCAACAAGATGCTGAAGCTAATTATTGTTACGTATGCTTGTCTTTTATTTAACTCAAAAGTAGAAATATGGTATTGAACCATCATTGGCTGAGTATTTTATATAGGTTAACATGCTTATTCAGTCATTATCCTCTCATTTTTTGCTTCAGTACAACAACTTCGTTTTCTGTCAGTTCTGTCTGCCATGTGCTTCCTCTTCATCTGGGGCAAAGGAATCCTTTTTGACATTAGCCCTATCATCAAGGGCAACAAACTAGTGTTTCTTTGATGTCATTTTTCATTATTTACCAGAATGGTTTCTCATATATATTTAGCTCAAGGATCCTTAGTAACGGGAACAAATAAAGACCTGGGATGATCCCTAAAATTCTCCGAGAATATATTATTTTTGATCCTCTCTGTATACCTTCAATTTGCACATCATCGGGCGTATCTTGCATCAAGTTCTGGTTAGGTAAAATTCAGTGC